ATTCACTCGCTCTCTGATGCACACACTCGTTGACTCGCTCCTTCATTCACTCACCTGCTCCTTCACTTATTCATCACGCAGAGTCACTCACTCAATATTCATTACATACCAAGAGCTGGGTCCTATTCCAGATGTTGAACAAGACTCAAAAAAATACCTGTGCTCATTGGGTTATGTTCCAAATAAATAACCAAAACAATGAGTACAAAAATGTACAGTGTGTTAGAATAAGTACCAGGGGAATAAAGTCTGAGGCTATGAGGTGGTGGGGGTTGGAATTTTAGGGGGGCTAGGCAGGGCCTGTGGGAAGGTGATTTTTGAATGAAGACTAGATGGAAATGAGGTAATGGTGAACATCTGCAGGAAGAGTGTTCCAAGCAGAGGGAACAGCAGGTGCAAAGGCCCTGAGACAGCAGCATGGAGGGATGGGTGTGAGAAAGAGCAAGGAGTCCAGGTGTGGCTGGGGCAGAGCAGACAATGGGGAGAGAAGTAGGACGTGAGGTCAGGGGTCGGGGGACACGCAGGACCTCATGCACCTGGGCCTCCCCCATCACTCAGGGTCTGAGCGGAGGAATGACGTGGCCTGACTTGTATTTTTTTTAAAGTGTCCTCGGGCTGCCGAGTGAGCAAGTCAGTTAGAGTCTGAGTCAGTTTCCTGCTTTGTGAGGGGGAGTTGGTTTCCGGTATGCCTACTGTGAGCCAGGCACTGAGCTGGGTACCGGGGAGAGGTGTGCAGGCCCCCACGGCGCTCATGGAGCTCCGTCTGGCCTACTCCCTTCTCATCGAGCATCACCTCCCCCAGGTAGCCACCTTCTCCCAGCTCTGCTGGCCCCTGTGCTCCATTTCAGCCGTCCTCTAGTATATTGTCCTGTCTCTTTCCAAATGGTGTCCACATGGGCTGAGCGCTCCTCCCAGGCAGGTCTGTGCCCAACTCTTCCCTTCTCCCAGGCGACCTCCCTGAGGGGCAGAGGGAGTGAACAAGTCCATGAACAAAGGACTCCCAGGCCCAGCTGGCCTGGCATGTGTGGCTGGAGGACGAGGCCTCAGGGAGCCCGCGATCGCCTCACTGTCTGTCCCCATCTTTTGCAGATGGATTTGCAGGTATGGAGAGTGTGTGGAGGGGCCATGTTCGTGTTGGCACAGAAGATTGGCTGCTGAGCCAGGGCGTGTCTCCAGGAGGCCTGCCAGGCTGCCCGGATCCCCACCTCACTGCCATGGACCGCCCAGGCTGGTCAGTTACCAGCCCATGATGTTCCCTGCCCCCGGCCCTGGGGAGGGCTGGGCCCGACGGCTCAAGTCCCAGGCTCTCGGCACCCCACTCAGGCCTTGAGACCCGTCTGTCCTGGGGAAGGGTTGACTCCGGCTCCCTTGGCCCCCAGGCTGCGCCCAGTCCCTCCACCCCTTGGGGCCCAAGTTTCCTGGCCTCTAAAGTGGAAATCATGCAACTGGCCCCTGGGGTTACTGAGGGCCAGAGGGGCTGTGATTGGGCTCTGAGCGCTTAGAAGGCACTGAGTGAATGGTGGCCCGGACTCTGTTGATAGTGAGTACAGTCCAGGGCAACGTGCACTGAGTCCCTGAAGCGCCAGGTACGTTCGCACCTTTGCTGCCCCATCTCTCTCCCAGGCAGGATGGTGCAGTGGTGAGAGCACAGACTCTGGAGCCAGGTGGCCTGGGTTCAAGGCCCCGCCCTGCCACTTGCCGGCCCTGGGACTCTGTGTGAGTTACCAGACTTCTGTGCCTTGGTTTCTTCACCTGTAAAATGGGGGTGATGATTGCCACCACATAGGGTGGCTGTAAGGGTTTAATAAGTTACTATGTGTGAAACGCTGAGAAGGTTGCCTGGCATTCATGTGGTCGACAGTCAGTGTTGAATGAATGAATGAATGAATGGACACAGCCTTTAGTGGGGTCCCATGTTCCTGTCATGCAGGTGGAAGATTGAGGCTCGGAGAGCTGAGTGACTTGCCCCAGGTCGCACAGCTGGTTCAGGCAGACTTGGGGACCCAGGCATCCCAGGCATTCACACAGTCCCACCCTTGGGGACAGGGCCCCTGCCTAGCTTGTTCCTCCCAGCCACCTGCAGGGTCCCCAGGAACGTTCCTGCTGTTGGCTGAGTGCGTGTTACCAGGAGAGAGTGAGGGTCCAAGGGCAGCAGTACTAGTCAAGGTCTCAGACTACAGTCCCTTTCCCCTCCAGGCCTGTGTCTATGAGACACACAGCCCAGGGCAGGGGCTGGGGAAGCCAGGGGCCCAGGAGACCCTGATATGTCTGGGCCAAGGGCTTTGAGACACTGCAAGCATCCGCGTGTGCCTGGAGCCCACCCGTGCTGCTTGTGAGTGAGCTTGTACGCCAGCGCCCAGGCCTGCCGAGCCCCAGGCCTGCTGCAGAAGGCCCTGAGGCTGCTTGGCAGTCTGTCCTCTCGGACCAGCTCCAGGCTTGGTTTGTAGAACCGGACGGAGCTGCAGGGTGTATGCACTGGGCCTCAAATCGCACGCTGCCAGCCTGGCAGGCCGAGGGGGACAGGCCTCGCCAGGCAGAAGTGGCAAAGCCATTGCTCCAACAACCCTTGCACATGCCAGACCCTGCCCCGGGCCCGTGATGCCTCATGTTGTAGGTGGCACTGGCCCAGTCCTTGGGGAGCTCGCAGGTGTGTCACAGAGAGGGGAAGGGACCCTGCCCAGATCTGGCTCCCTAGCCCACTCCTCCCATTATTTTACAGGTGAGGAAGATGGGGCTCTGAGAAGCGGCAGGCCCGGGGGCTTTGGAAGTCGGCATTGGCGGTGGCTGGTGTTTGTGGGAAGCGTTTTTCTTGGGTCTGGGAGGCCAGCAGCCTGCCTGAATGTGGTGCTCGTATCTTGCAGACCAGCCAGTTCCCGCCGGAGGCTCATGGTGTCGACTGGGGAGACCATGTCCAGGACCCCCCACTGCTTGCCGCGGCTGCTCCGGGGCGCCCCGAGGCAGCGGGTCTGCACCCTGTTCATCATCAGCTTCAAATGCACGTGTTTTGTCTTCATCATGATCTACTGGCACATTGTGGGAGAGCCCAGGAGCCAAGGACAGCTCTTGAACCTGCCTGTTGACATCCCCTGCCCCCGCTTGGTCCCCCCAGCGGCGCCCTCCAGCACCCCCACTCCGGGCAACATCTTCTTCCTGGAGACTTCAGACCGGACCAACCCCAACTTCCTGTTCATGTGCTCGGTGGAGTCGGCGGCCAGGGCCCACCCCGAGTCCCGGGTGGCGGTCCTGATGAAGGGGCTGCCTGGCGGCAACGCCTCCCTGCCCCGGCACCTGGGCCTCTCGCTTCTGGGCTGCTTCCCCAACGTGCAGATGCTCCCGCTGGACCTGGAGGAGCTGTTCCGGGACACGCCCCTGGCGGCCTGGTACGAGGCCGTGCAGCGGCGGTGGGAGCCCTACCTGCTGCCTGTGCTCTCCGATGCGTCCAGGATTGCGCTCATGTGGAAGTTCGGTGGCATCTACCTGGACACGGACTTCATCGTCCTCAAGAACCTAAGGAACCTGACCAACGTGCTGGGCACCCAGTCCCGCTATGTCCTCAACGGTGCCTTCCTGGCCTTTGAGCGCCACCACGAGTTCATGGCGCTGTGCATGCGTGACTTCGTGGCCCACTATAATGGCTGGATCTGGGGCCACCAGGGCCCCCAGCTGCTCACGCGGGTCTTCAAGAAGTGGTGCTCCATCCGCAGCCTGGACGAGAGCCACGCCTGCCGCGGCGTCACCACCCTGCCCTCTGAGGCCTTCTACCCCATCCCCTGGCAGAACTGGAGGAAGTACTTCGAGGACATCAGCCCCGAGGAGCTGTCCCAGCTGCTCAATGCCACCTACGCCGTTCACGTGTGGAACAAGAAGAGCCAGGGGACACGCTTTGAGGCCACGTCCAGGGCGCTGCTGGCCCAGCTCCATGCCCGCTACTGCCCCACGACGCACGAGGCCATGAAGATGTACCTGTGAGGGGCCTGCCAGGCCGTCCCCGCCTGCTGTCCTGACGGAGGAGGGCTCTTGGCCACCCTTCCTGGGGAGGCGAGAAGGGAGGGCCAGGAGAGGGAAGCCTGAGCTGCTGCAGCCGGGCCTGGGGGCAGGCTGCGGGGAGGGCAGAGAACTGTCAGCCCAAGAGGCGTCGTTGGAGGACGTGCTGCGGGTCCTGGGATCTGCTCCCTTCCAGCCAGTGGGACACTCCCTAGGCCGGTGCGCTGTCTCGGGGTAGAGGCCACAAGTGGTGGGGAAGGGCCCCAGCCAGAACCAGCTGGAGTGGGCTGGGTGAGCGTCCTGGGTCTTCTAGACAACACGCAAGAGCGGTGAGCAGTAAAGCATCTTCCAGGGCATGGCGGGGAGCCGGGCTGGTTGGGGCCGAGGTGCCCATGAGGGGAGCATGGAGAAGCCGGAGGAAAGGGGAGAAGAAGGAGGGAGGAGCTCCTAGACCCTAGATGAGGGGGAGGAGGCAGCCTGTGGGAGAGTGGGGCTGCAAACCCAGCCTCGTGAGCCCCCGGGGGCGGGGGCTTTTCTCTTTTCTGGTTTTGGTTTCTTTTTCAGCCAGCCTGAGGCTGGCTGAGCCAGCCGGGGAGCATTTTGGGGAAGGCCCTCGTGCCCACCCCATCCTTTCATTCCACAATATGTTGAAAGGGTGACGTGTGCCAGCTGCCCACTCCGGCCCCACAGGGGCGAGTTCTTTTGGCTCAGGAAAAGCATTTTAAAGAAAACACCCTCCACCCTGTCTATAATAAACACAGGAGAATAATAAATATAATGAAAGCAACTCCCTGACATCTTGTGCATTGTAGTTGATGAAACACATCCACTCACACAGCCCTTGTTAGCCACATTTTGCAGATGGGGAAGCAGCCAGGGCTGGAGGAGGTGGTGACTTGCCTGGGTCGTGCTGCCTGGATCATAAGGGCTCGGGGACCTGGCAGGGGCAGCCCCACAGCCCGGGTGCTGGAGAGCCACTGCGGTGGGGAATGGAGGTGGCTCCTCTCCCACCTCACTTTTCAAGGCTCACAAATGGCCTAGGTTGGGTCCCACCAGCACCCCACCCCACCCCATAGTGAGCCCGAATCTGTTTTACCCTAAACAGGGCCAGATGAGGAGCCAGCCCCCCACCAGGGTAGGGATGTGCCACCACCAAGCCTAGAGGAGGCCCCAGCGGGGGAGGTGGGAGCCTGTGGTGTCCCTCCTGCCCCACCCGGGGTGCCTGGCCAAGATCCTGGGAGAGACCAGAAGAGCGCTGCTGGCAGCCCCACGGCTAGGTGGGAGGAAAGTCTGCTCTCGGCAGGGCAAGGCCCTGGCTGGTACGTGTTGAGGAAGCCACCTCTAGAGCTGGGCATTCCAGCCAGGCTGGAGAAGCCTCTGCTGCAGGCCCAGGGTGCTGTGGGAACTCGGGCTCAGCAGGCTGCTCTTTGTTTCAAGGCCTCTGGATTCTGCCTGCAGACGGTGTTGGGCAGCCTGGTGAGGAGGTGAGCTCCCTGGCTCTAGGGGTACTCAAAAGTAGGTGATATTTTTGATGAAAACAATGGATTATATGTCAGTTATTTCTCCAACCGTAACATCACTTCACCTATCTTGTAAAATTTTTTTAGAATGAGCAAGTTTTACTTTAATAATACAAATAATATATATAACTATATATACTTAAGCAAGTGAGATGACTTCTTAGGGTCAAGCATTGTTTAATTAGCCATTTGGCCGTCATATAGTGAGTGGCTACTATGTGTCAGCAAATACAGAGATGAAACACACATGTCCCTCCCTTACCCTACGGTCTTCTATGGCTCCCTGCTGCCTAGGGAACAAAGTCTGACTCGGGCCCAGCATTCAAGGCCCTCCATGATCTGGCCCCGCCTCCCCCTCCAGCCTTGAGCATTGCCCTCCATCCACACTAAACTGCAAATTCTTTCCTCCCCTCCCCACCCTAACGTTCACCTGTTACTCTATGCCTTTGCTGCTGCCTGCCATGCCCTTCCGAACCATCTTCACCAACAAACTCCTGTTCCTCCCCATAAGGTCCGTGTCCCCTTGAGGAAGCCTTCCCTGACTGCCCCTCCTGCAGCCCCACAGCTCCCGGGCATCCTCCAGGGCCACTGGATTCTTGGCCTGTCCCCCCAAACATCTTGAAGGGCAGAGCCATGGCAGATCTCTCTCAGGGTCGTTCCTGGCCTTGGGCTCAGGCTCCCGGGGGGGACATCCATGTAGCTTTGCAGGGGCCTCAAGGAGTTCCCATCGGTCCACGCAGAGCTGAGGCACCGGCTCTGGACCCCTACTCCCGAGTGTCAGTTAGAGACCCTTGGGCCCTCAGCTGCCTCCAACACCTTCTAACCCAGAGGGTCAGGCCAGGCCAGGCCAGGCCAGAGCGGCTGCAGCCAGCATTGCAGGAGTGCAGGGTGACCCAATGTTTAAGGCCTTCTCAGAGGACCCCATTCTGGAAATTTCGTCCGGGAGGCAGGCTTGGCTCCTGCCTCCCACGTCATGACAGGCAGAGCCAAGAACAGGAGAACTCTCAGATGCTGCTGGCGTCCTTGTCTCTGAGAAAGTGAGCAGGGCGCCAAGGTTTGGGGCCGATTCTTCCTCTTCCACATTCTAATAAGGACCCTCCATCCACCGGCTTGGACGGTCGGGGGGCTGTATCTCATTGAGCCTGCCCCACGCCCAGCTTCTTAATGCAGCAGCTATAAACCAGCCAGAAATAACAGCAGCATCCTGAAGAAAAGAGGCTGAGAGCATGGGTGCGGGCGGGGCCGAGGTCGCAGGAGAAAGGCTGATTCATCTCCAGGCTGTGAGGCTGGAAGGTGCCCTCTGCCGCCCTCCCCACCCCGCCTTGAGGACCCCAGCCTCCACCCGCCCCTGTGCTGTGTGCTTGCATCTCCTCTGGGCTGGTAAGAACTGTCCAGCTGCCCAGGGCAAGGCCGGGGAGCCCAGAGATCCCCTTTCCCTGCCTCCTGGCCCCCACACCCTGGCCAGAGCTGTGCCTGTTGCCTCTTCTGCAAAGAGGAGATGGATGGTACCTACCTCCTGGTGTGGTTGTGATGTTCAGATGAGCCAGCACGAGACCTGGCATGGAGCACGTTATATACAACACACCTCCACTTTCTACATGGGGAAACTGAGGCTCAGCAAGTAGGCGGCAGGACTGGGATTTGAACCCAGGCCTTGGCTGTCCTGAGGACGGAGCTCAAGGCAGGGAGGAGGCTGGCTGGGGCAGCTGGAGAAAGTCTATGGGTGTTGCACCTCCCTGTGCAACACCCATAGACCAGAGCCCTCCCTGGAGCCCCTCTGTCTGGGCCTGACCCTGCGCTTTGCTCTGTCCCATCCCAGGCTCGCAGTCGCCTGATGCCCTGTCAGCCTCAGGCTGCCCCTCCTTTGGAGTAGGAGCCAGAACATTAACAGGGCAATGGAGTTCTCGGAAAGGAGAAGGGAGGGCCGGGCTCCCGTGGCAGCCTGCCCTGGGGACAGTAATCAGATCCCAGGAACCCTGCAGTCTGCTTCTGGGCCGCCTGCTTGCAGATGTTTTTGTCTGGGAGTTGGGGAAGAAGAAGAGGACTCATCCCTTTTTTGGGGGTCAGCGAGTACCCAGCAGGGGCCCGAGGCAGGCGAGCTGTCAGTTGTGTAATGACCCTCCGCTGGCCAAGCCCAGCTAGCAGGGCAGTAGCTTTCTGCAGCTCTGGGGCAGGGGCATAATTCCCCCTCGCTGCTGTATCAATATTCAACTGCTTGTTTAAATATTCAATTGGAATGTCCCCCATCTGAGTGCCTAACAGCAGCGAGGATGGGTGAGTAACTTGGACTGTGTTCCTGGAAGTCTGGTTTCATGGTTCGCTTGTTCCTAAATCTCTGCTTGTCCTGACATGGGCCAACCAGTGCAAGGCATGCTGGGAATTCCGCTGTGAGGGTGGGGGTCAGGCCTGGACACAGCTTCAGGACCTGGCAACTGGCCGTGGACTCAAGTATGATCTGGGCTACTGGGCAGGGGGAGCATCCACTTCCCTGGGCAGCAGAGGGGACCAAGGTAATGAGTAAGACCGAACTCAGAGGCGGGGGCACCCCAAACAGGAAGCCGTTCCTCACAGGCCCAGTGCCCACCAGCTGCCAAGGAGAGAAAGATCCGAGAGGAGGCCTCTGGCTGCCAGCAGTGACTCAGGTGGCCGAGCCCCTGGGGGCGTTTATTGTCTCATGAGATGTACCGGCCAAGGTGCTCGGGAAGCTGCTGTAACCTAAACTGCAAACGAGAGTCACTCAGATAAGGTAGCAGATTGTCTCCCCGCGTCCCAGCCCCAGGGTGAGCGCTCCAAGGCCGCTGGGCCCACTCTGCCGCCCCAGGATGGAGCTTCCGGAGAGCTTCTGCTGCTGCTGTCTTCCAGCCTGTGGGAAAAGGGGAAGAGAGTGCCCAAGGCAAACATCTTCAAGGACAATCTAAAAGTTGCACACGTTGCTTCTGCTCACATCCCATCCCATCGGCCTGGATTTAGTCACATGGCCACACCCAGCTGCCGAGGATGCTGGGACTGGGGGGCCCAATGTGAGCTAAAACTCCCTCGGTTCTGTTACTAAAAGGATGACAGGAAGAATAGACACTAGCAGGCATTTAACAGTGCCTGCCACAGGTAACAGGGGGTCTGGTGATAAGGTGCCTGCAGGGTTGCTTAATTCAATATCTTGTCAACATATTCATGTCTTCAAGGATCCAGTGTATTGACTGTTAGTCTCAGGCTTGTCCTCTCCTGGCCTCAAGATGTCTGCCACTGCTCCAAACATCACACCGTTATGCACTAATGCAAAAAGGCAGAAAAGAGAATGTTCCTCCCTTGTGTCTATGAAAACTTTCTCAGAAGCCCCTTTCTCCAGCCGACTTCCCCTAACTTTCATTGGCCAGAATAGCATCACATGCCCATTCCTACTCCAATTACTAGCAAAGGGAGTGGACTGGCTTAGACCAATTGAAATTCACCCCCAGGGGCTGTGAAGGGCCCCACTTCCTTGACAGCACAAGGTTACTGAATTCCTTTAGCAAGAAAGAAGGGGGGTGGGAATGGCCGTGGGTAAGGAGCCTCCATGGGAACCGGCCCTTCCTGCCTGTCCGCTCTGCCCCAAGCCCAGCAGCAACACTCCTGCACATGATTTCATTCACCTGTCCCCTGTG